CACTTGTATTTCGACCTTATTCAATGTTCTTTTTCATGTCTAGTTGAGAAACACTTTAAACTCTATGTATTCTGCTTTACAGCTGAAACAGATGCGAATGAGATGATAAAACTTGCGTATTTTAAGCGATTTGTTTTTATTCCTTTTTTGACATTCCCAATAGCGTTTAGCAAAAATGAAACCCATCTGTGTGGTCCTTGTATGGACCCCTACAACATGCAACAAATCGTTTTGAAAAAGCTCACCACGGCCTGAACGGGGAGGCGGTCGTTTGGCGCGATTTCATTGCCGTTTACGTGTTCTGACAGGTACATGCCTACCGGATAACTTGTTCGAATCACTGAACTATAAGGTTTTCGTAATTTGTAGCCTATCAAAACCCTCCTGTTTTTGGTGATAGTGCTCATTATTCAAACAGTAAGTTTTCTTCTAATGATCACTTGGGGATATACACTAGTTTGGAGGTTATGGCGAGTTGTTTCCCCTAGAAGTCGGTTTGCCTGACATGTTCTGACGCGTAGACGACAAAAGAATCGCGCCAAACGACATACACCCCAGTCCAGTTCGAACTCTGCCGTTACGGCGGTGCACCGCTTGACGGTGGAGCGCCTCAGACGCGGTCGCGATCCTACGTTTGAAAAAGCACATCCCACATGTTCTTTCTCAATTCTCGATGCTTCTGTAACAGCTGATCTGTTCGGCCGCGCCAAGGTTTCTCAACAGGACCACACAGAATGTTTGAGTGGGCACGGTTTAGCGACAACTAGAACTTTCGTTGAGGGTCCTGCGTGAAAGGTCAGAGCGCAGACAAATAGTAGGCTGCAGCTGCCGACTTCGAAGGTGCACGAAAACGTCGTGAGCACAAGATTACAAACTCGGGAAAACAGGCTGTGTACAGCACGTCTCAGGGCACATGTCAACCGGGAAGCCTCTCTTCTCTTTCCTTTTTTTTCTTTCTCCCTCCTTCTCTGATCCCTCCTTCTTTATCTTCTTCCTTAAACTAGTGGACTGGTAGAAGCGAGAGCACGCCCGGCCGACATGTGCCCCGTAAGGCCGCGTTCATACATGATGCAGAAATGCGGAATATGCAGAACTGCGGAATTTGCAGAAAGGAAATATATACGTATCGATCTGAAAACTGCATTTCTTCAAATTCCGCGGAATTTGCCGACATGCAGAAATGACGGACTAAGAATTGATAGGGATCCTGGTTCTTCCCTGCCGTCGTGCGGAATTGGGAGAAATGCAGAATCTGCAGATTCTGCACGACGGCAAATTCCGCGGAATTTGCCGACATGCAGAAATTACGGACAAAGAAGCGATAGGGATCGATCGGTCCATTCTGCAAATCCCGCACTTCTGCATATTCCATTTCTTTCTGCAAGTTCCGCGGTTCTGCAGATTCCACACGTCTGCAAATTCCGCAGTTCTGCACATTCCGTGGTTCGGCATTTCTGCATCATGTATGAACGCGGCCTAACCGCGTACAGCACGCTCGAAAATTGCGCGTGCAATAAAATGTGTTGGGCCCGTGAACGTACACCATTGCATGGACCGTAGGCCAGTTTCCAAGTTTTGCAGCAAGTGAGCTTCGAGGTCAAGCCAATGTAGGGAGAGCAGGAATCACGCAAACTATGGCCACTGGGGGAGCCCGCCAATTTTTCTGCTTCCCAATGATCCTATTGGTGAACCTGTGCTCTTTCCTTCTTGTGATTTCTCCTCTTCTCCGTGGTGAACAGGAGTTTGCTAAAGTTAGAATATTCCATTAAAAGCTATTGGTAACTATAACGAGCCGTCATTATCAGCTAATGTTCAACATTAATATACTCAATGTAATCTTTATATTGATTCACTCATAAAGGCAGCAGACAAGAAAAAATTCAACAATGGTTTTAGAGATTAGCAAGCGTTGGATACAAGAAATACAACTGGTTGTTGGCATAACAGCAACGAGAAAAATCAATTGAACGAGTTGTTTAATCAAACAGAAGCTTTAGTCACTTGAAGTGAGCACAAGAAATATTATGAACCACCTCAAACAGAGATTATTAATTATGACAAATTCGAGAACGTAATCGAAATAAAGGGTGGAAGGGTGAAGCGCTCAGCACCGGTCGGTCCCTTGCCAGAACGTGCAAGCAACGAGTCGACTTACATTCAGAGTCGCATGCGCATTTAGCCTACGTCGTAACTCGAGCTAACTGACTTATTGGTGGAGGAGGAAGATGAAACAGTGGAGAATTCCCCTGAACAAGGCTCTCTTAATTGCAGTTTACTTTGCACTGGACGAGCATGCGAAGAAGTGACACGAATGGGCATATCAAAAATATGTGAAAGACTAATGAAGGAAGACGAGAGAGACGATAGGTGCCAACACTTTCCTCAGTGACGCATCTCTAGGTAGTGCCGGCTTCAGCCCCACCCACTTGCTTCTGAGGCCACTCTGTGTAGGGAAGGAATTCAACAAACAAGCAGTCGAGGACCGTCGCTCTATGAAACAGAAGAGCAGTTATACGAAGGATAGCATACGAGTTTATATGAGCATTACGGGCGAAGAGACGCTGAGAGCGTAAAAAATCTGTGACGGCGTGACTTCAGCAGAGAGGCCCTGGCAGTTGCATAGTTCGTGATAAGTGGGGTTTTAAACAAGATTCAGGTGATAAGTAACAAAGAGGAACAAGAACGAGAAAAGGAACGAGAAAACCGTCAAAGTCGCTCAAAAAAGACTTTCTTGCTTTTATTAGCCATATGAGCATACGGCGGAGGTATCCTTCTATTCTATAAAGCACTAACTCTGTGTGTCGGTTTGTCGGTATGTATGTATGTATGTATGTATGTCTGTCCGTCCGCAAAATGCCTCAGGGGCTCGAGTTAGCGGGAGGAGAAAACGACCGCTAGGCAAACCGGTAACCGATTGGTGCGGATGTATCAATCCAATGTTTTGATTGTGATAACAGCCTCCGCTATATAAGACAACCATTCGGTACACTCCGAGCCATTGCACGAGCTGCTGGCGTGGCAGCTGGACGTGTGCTCGTGCAGGGTGGGGGTAAGGAGCGACGGGGAAGGGGGGCACCGAGTGATTCCCTCCCTTCTGCTTCCTCTACCCTGCACGTGCTCAGCCGGACCTGAGCATGTGCAAGTAAAGGAAAAGGGGTGGGGGAAACGGTGAGAGGGTGCGAAGCGCACGCTCGAGTAGGAGCACGCAGCAAGAGAGGAGGATACAACCGCTAGCAAAACTGCGAGCTCATCAAATAAGTGACAAACTCTTATGTTTTGTTTGATTGTGTTACCCTCACTAAGTGAGATAACCATTTAGTACTCTCCGAGCCATTGCTCAAGGTGCGCGTGGCAGCTAGACGTGAGCTTGCGCGTGGATTGCTTCATCTATTACGATTCGATCAAAACAGCGCATTATGAGTAGCTAGGTGAAAGAACAAATATTGTTCCCATTATGAAGTGCGCCTGGCGAAGCTAAGCCAGCTGAAGATAAGGAGGAGAGCTCGGCATGAGCCGGGCGATCCGACTGGTTGAGGTGTAAAAGAGAGAAAATTAACGGTATGGCGAGAGAATATCGAGACCCCACCGATACATAGCGATGATAGAACGAAATGATGAATAGAGCGATACAGAGTTGACTGCAGCTCGGAACCTAGTTAAATTCACGTCTGATGTGGTGCTGAACTCGGGAGTGAGCGGGCGCCGTGTGCAGCGATTCTAAGTGGGGCGCTCCATGACTGGCATTCTTTGCGAACAAGCGCCAATTTGCCAGAGCGCCTCAAGTGAAGGATCTGTAGATCTATAGATGCGCGAAGTTCGCCCCCGAGGTATGGTCATGTATTGCGTCCGAAATCTGACATCGTCCGTAAGAGTGGCCTTGAGCTCGAGATGCTCGAAAAGTGGCCTCAAGGTAGCCCCAAGACCCAAGCAGCGCTGGCTAGACATGTTGCATGCGGACTTGAAGACAGTGGGCACCCATCGACCAGACATTCAATCAGAAGAAGTGGCATCATAAAATAAGAACAGCGGACCCCGCTACAGAGCGGGACGTGCTGAAGAAGAAGAAGAAAAGACGAGTTCACGTCAATGTTATGGTCCGTATCGGCGCACCAAATTTACGCGTCCTCCGAGGGTAAAAGGTTCGATTGGTTAGAGCAGGAGCCCGTCCGGGAGCTGGTACTCGCACCGCGCGCCCGGCGAGCGTGCCACTTGTCACCTCTCCCTCAAGGCACATAGAACTGTGACTTAGCATACATGCAAACTAGTGATATGGAGCAACAAAAAAAGGAGTTGACGGAGTGAAAACAGTCTGGGTCCAGACCATCACGTTCTACGCCTGGTCCGGTCAGGTTATAAGGGCAATGCAACACTAACATGCAGCTTGAAAATGCAGGGCATTCAATTGAGCTAAGAGTTATGCAAATCAGAGAAGAGTTATGCGACTCGAAATGTACAAATAATCAGAAGGCACTGGAAGCGTTGAGCCTCAAAACCGTCACTGGAAGCTATCCTGTTTGCTGTAACCTTGCTTTTATGGTTTGAAAATCTGCGTCAACATCTTGGATGGTTGCATTCAGTCTTCTTTGAATTTCTTCGTTCTTCTCGATAAACGTATCCTTATACCTGAAACACTGCAAGCTTCGCTACTTTGAGAGATATAGAAAATTCGTAAATGATTTGCCAGCAAAATGAGATAGTTTTTTTACCGAAATAATGACAAAACGAAACGAAGCTAGCCAGCAGCGAGTTATAATGGGAAATAGTGGGAAAATATATTATAATGGAAGTCTGCCAGGACTTAGCTGCAAAGCTGCTCCTCGTACGCCAGTACGGGCAGAAAAAGTCTACAGGCTCAAGTGTTGACAGGCAGGCCGTATATTGAGGGTTTTTGAACGATAGATTTTGATTGTGTTGCAGGGGAGGGAGGGAGGTCGCACTCAGGACTTCACTAATGGGGAATGTGGGGGATTTTTGAGTGGCAACAGATTTGGACCAATTTCAAGATGATCACTGTACGTTTGCAGACATCTGCCTCGGCCAACGGCGTTTTTACTGTGGAATTTGGGCAAATATAGTCTAAATGGCAAATGTAGTTGGATGAAAGAAGCGTGACAGGTGGGATGGGTTCGGCGCGGCGCCAGACCCATTCTCCACTTGTTGTTGAAGCAGGTAAGCGGCAGTAAGACTGATACCAGCAAGATGATACGATTATCACTTGCTCGCTTCAATAACAGGTGAAAAGGGTTTGGTGCCGCGCCATCACTGAAACGCCCCTTCATTCGCAGCGAACAAGACTGTATAGTGAGAGGGACAGTGGAATTCGCACAGTTCAGCTTCTGTATAGAATAGGTTGTGTGCAAGGCATTGGCGGGAAGAGCAGGGCTCGTACGGTGGAGATACCCAGCAACAAAGAGGAGGGGTGGGGGTTGTATTTGGTCGTTGGAGGGAGGGAGAGTGTGTCTACTGCAAAGAAAAATGTTTCTGTCGTTGATTCTTCTCGGTTTCTGCCGTTTCATGTACGCTGCATTAACCCCCCCCCCCTTCCCCACAGTTTTTTTTGGGGCAAATCGGGAAAAGAAGTAAGAAGTTGAGAGGTGCTAAGTACTGCGGGTTCAACCAGAGGTGGAACTTTCGAGTCGTATTTTGCCAAATTTCTCCCCAACGGCAGGATTCCCCTGGTTGAGAGGCGTTCGTACTGAGAAACAAACTGCCTATTCGCCAAGGAAGGCCTTTTGTGAGAGGAAACGATCAAGGAAATGTTAGAAAAATAAATGGCGAGTCACATTTGTTTTGACTGAACAAGAATACATATAACTTGTTGTCTGTTATCACAAGAATGCTGAGTTGTGGGCAAAAGTCGTGCCCCAAGCGGGAGTCAAACCCGCACCTCACGCTTTCCGGGCGAGTGCGCTATCCGTTACGGCCACAGGTTGCCGCTTTTAAACGTTTCCTTATCTCGTCTCATCCCCGCTTAACGGCTTTTTATGCCATAGCCTTACTAAGCAGCTCACACACGTTTAACTTGGTGAGCCGGTCAGCCGTAATCGTTAGATAACGGCATGGAACCGCAAGGCCGAAGGCTTTGCAAGTTTTTGAAGCTGTTTTTTTATGATAACTGCTGTTTAACGCCGCTTTAATTAATTAATTAATTTAACGCCTAAATTGGGCAAAGGCCTTCGCCTAAGCTGTTCATGCCGATATCTGACGATTAGCTGTCGCCGGCTCACTAAGTTAAACGGTGAGTGTTGTAAGGCTACGGCATAAAAGCCGTTGAGGTGGGTAAAAGCGGCCTTGGTCGCGTAACGGATAGCGCACTCGCCCGGAAAGCGTGAGGTGCGGGTTCGACTCCCGCCTGGGGCACGACTTTTGCCCACAACTCAGCATTCTTGTGATAACATTCGGAACGCGTACTGTGGCGTTAAACAGCAGTTATCATAACAAAACAGCTTCAAAAACATTCAACTTGATAATACCTCCAATTCAAAATAGGAGTCTGACGCTCCACACAAAAGTCAAATCCCAAGCCAGCGGTCTACAAAGGAGAATGTCCACGGCAAATACGCATTTTTATCCTTTCTCCTGGAACCACGGAAAAGATCATGAAAGGTGGCTGAAACTTCTGCAGAATCCGCCTCACCTCTTCTGCCATCCGTGAAGTATAAAATCTCGCTCGCACCAGGCCGAATTTGTAAGCCACCCATCACGTGCCCATGATGATGTGCCCTTGATAGACAAAAGATCGTGCAGATTCAACCAAAGAAGAATTGTACCATAATATAGGGAATGTGTGACTTTAGAAGAGGTAGCGAAAGTACCTTAGGCAGAATTAGGATATGCTTCAGCTGATTAAGCGATAAAATCATCTGCATACAGACCTCATATATTGACAGAGAATTAAAATCCCTGAAAAGAGTTGTTAGGCTGTGACTCAAGGAACGAGTGAAGAAACTAACTCACTTGGCAGCCAACCAGAAGTTTTCACACTTTTTGCGAGCAGCGTCTTGAGCAGGAACTTCGTAGGAGACTATAGCACTCTGAAATATGCACTTACATACACTGTGGGAGATGAGAGGCGTTGGTCACCCACTTCAATAAAGCATGGCTGAGGATGCGTTTTCTATTTGATACACCTAGAGTACGTCGTGCCTGTTGCAAATTCTTGCAAAATGCGACCTTCGAAGCCTGCTCCTTTAGGGAGGGCCCCCTTTTCGCTAACTCCAACCTAACTACCATCTTCCCGAATGTTCCAACTTCCTACCACATTTCCGGATTATTGACCGAAAATACCCCAACTTTTTCTCTCGAAAGCTGTCGTCGAACGGGCAGGAGAAGTAGGCACGACGGGGAAAGGCTGCTCAATGTTCGAAAACATTCTCGAAGGCAAATAGACTCCTTCCTTTCTCCAGCGACCAAAAACTTTCTCCTCATTGGGATCTCCAACCACGATATGTGTAATTACAACTCTAATCCTGTCATGCGTAAGTCAAAGAGATGGTCATAGTTGCCCCAAAACGACAATATCTTATCAAAAAAAGCGCACGCTCAAAG